AGGAAAAGGGAGAAGATCTTGGGGGGAAAGGGGGAAAGGATCTCAACCAAGAGAAAAGATCTTGGGGAGGACAAGGGAGAAGATCTCAGGGGTGGAAAGGCCTTAGGGGGGAAAGAGGGGAAAGGACCTCAACAGGGAAAGGGGGCAAAGGATCTTAGAAAGGAAAAGGGAGAAGATCTTGGGGGGGAAAACGCCTTAGGGGGGAAAGGGCGGGAAAGGATCTCAACAAGGAAAGGGGGGAAAAGATCTTAGGAAGGAAAAGGGGGAAGATCGCGGGGGGAAAAAAGGCCTTAGGGGGGAAAGGAGGGAAAGGATCTCAACAGGGAGAGGGGGGAAAACATCGTAGGGAGGAAAAGGGAAAAACTCAGAGGGAGAAAGGGCCTTAGGGGGGAAAGGGGGGAAAGGATCTCAACAGGGAAAAATTGCAAAAGATCTTAGGGAGGAAAAGGGAGAAGATCTCAGGGGGGGAAAGGCCTTAGGGGGGAAAGGGGGGGGGGGGAAAGATCTTAGGGAGGAAAGGGAGAAGATCTGGGGGCAAAGGCCTTAGGGGGGAAAGGGGAGAAATGATCTCAACAGGGAAAGGGGTGGAAAAGATCTTAGGGAGGAAAGGGAGAAGATCTGGGGGAAAAAAGAGGGGGGAAAGATCTAAGGAAGGAGAAGCTCTCAGGGGGGGAAAGGCCTCAGGGGGAAAGGGTGGGAAGGATCTCAACAGGGAAAGGGGGGAAACAATTTTAGGAAGGAAAGGGAGAAGATCTGGGAGAAAAGGACTTAGGGGGGGAAGCCCAACAGGGGAAAGGGGGGAAAAGCTCTTAGGAAGGAACAGGGAGAAGCTCTCAGGCAAGGGGAAAGGCCTTGGGAGGGAAAGGGGGGAAAGGATCTCAACAGGGAAAGGGTGTGAAAGATCTTAAGGAGGAAAGGGGGGGGAAGATCTTAGGGAGGAAAGGGAGACGATCTGGGAGAAAAGGACTTAGGGGGGAAAGCCTAACAGGGAAAGGGGGGACAAGATCTTCGGAAGGAAAAGGGAGAAGCTCTCAGGGGAGGGAAAGGCCTTAGGGGGGCAAGGGGAAATGGATCTCAGCAGGGAAAGGGGGGGGGGGGGACAGATCTTAGGGAGGAAAGGGAGAAGATGTGGGGGCAAAGGCCTTAGAGGGGAAAGGGGAGAAATGATCTCAACAGGGAAGGGGTGGAAAAGATCTTAGGGAGGAAAGGGAGAAGATCTGGGGGAAAAAAGGCCAACAGGGAAAGGGGGGAAAGATCTAAGGAAGGAAAAGGGAGAAGCTCTCAGGGGGGAAAGGCCTTAGGCGGGAAAGGGTGGGAAGGATCTCAACAGGGAAAGGGGGGAAACAATCTTAGGAAGGAAAAGGGAAAAGATCTGGAAAGGCCTTAAAGGGAAGAAGGGAAAGGATCTCAACGGGGAAAGGAGGCAAAGGATCTTAAGGAGGAGTAGGGAGAAGATCTCAGCGGGGGGAAAGGCCTTAGGAAGGAAAGGAGGGAAAGGATCTCAACAGGGAAAGGGGGGGGAAGATCTCAGTGAGGAAAGGGAGAAGATCCCAGGCAGGAAAAGGCCTTAGGGGGGAAAGGGGGAAAGGATCTCAACAGGGGAGGAAAAGGGAGAAGATCTGAAAAGGCCTTAGGGGGAAAAGGGGGAAAGGAGCTCAACAGGGAAAGGTGGGAGAGGATCCTAAAGAGGAAAAGGGAGAAGATCTTGGGGGGAAAGGGGGAAAGGATCTCAACCAAGGGAAAAGATCTGGGGAGGACAAGGGAGAAGATCTCAGGGGGGAAAGGCCTTAGGGGGGAAAGAGGGGAAAGGACCTCAACAGGGAAAGGGGGCAAAGGATCTTAGAAAGGAAAAGGGAGAAGATCTTGGGGGGGAAAACGCCTTAGGGGGGAAAGGGCGGGAAAGGATCTCAACAAGGAAAGGGGGGAAAAGATCTTAGGAAGGAAAAGGGGGAAGATCGCGGGGGGAAAAAAGGCCTTAGGGGGGAAAGGGGGAATGGATCTCAACAGGGAAAGGTGGCAAAAGATCTTAGGGAGGAAAAGGGAGAAGATCTCAGGGGGGGAAAGGCCTTAGGGGGGAAAGGGGGGAAAGGATCTGAGCAGGGAAAGGGGGGGAAAGATCTTAGGGAGGAGAAGATCTGGGGGCAAAGGCCGTAGGGGGGAAAGGGGAGAAATGATCTCAACAGGGAAAGGGGGCAAAGGATCATAGGGAGGAAAAGGGAGAAGATCTGAAAAGGCCTTAGGGGGAAAAGGGGGAAAGGAGCTCAACAAAGAAAGGTGGGAGAAGATCCTAGGGAGGAAAAGGGAGAAGATCTCGGGGGGAAAGGGGGAAAGGATCTCAACCAAGGGAAAAGATCTTGGGGAGGACAAGGGAGAAGATCTCAGGGGGGGGGGGAAAAAATCTTAGGAAGGAAAAGGGGGAAGATCGCGGGGGGAAAAAAGGCCTTAGGGAAAAAGGAGGGAAAGGATCTCAACAGGGAGAGGGGGGAAAACATCGTAGGGAGGAAAAGGGAAAAACTCAGAGGGAGAAAGGGCCTTAGGGGGGAAAGGGGGAATGGACCTCAACAGGGAAAAATGGCAAAAGATCTTAGGGAGGAAAAGGGAGAAGATCTCAGGGGGGGAAAGACCTTAGGGGGGAAAGGGGGGAAAGGATCTGAGCAGGGAAAGGGGGGGAAAGATCTTAGGGAGGAAAGGGAGAAGATCTGGGGGCAAAGGCCTGAGGGGGGAAAGGGGAGAAATGATCTCAACAGGGAAAGGGGTGGAAAAGATCTTAGGGAGGAAAGGGAGAAGATCTGGGGGAAAAAAGGCCAACAGGGACAGGGGGGAAAGATCTAAGGAAGGAGAAGCTCTCAGGGGGGGAAAGGCCTCAGGGGGAAAGGGTGGGAAGGATCTCAACAGGGAAAGGGGGGAAACAATCTTAGGAAGGAAAGGGGGGGGGAAGATCTTAGGGAGGAAAGGGAGAAGATCTGGGAGAAAAGGACTTAGGGGGGAAAGCCCAACAGGGAAAGGGGGGAAAAGATCTTAGGAAGGAAAAGGGAGAAGCTCTCAGGGGGGGGGAAAGGCCTTGGGAGGGAAAGGGGGGAAAGGATCTCAACAGGGAAAGGGTGGGAAAGATCTTAAGGAGGAAAGGGGGGGGAAGATCTTAGGGAGGAAAGGGAGACGATCTGGGAGAAAAGGACTTAGGGGGGAAAGCCTAACAGGGAAAGGGGGGAAAAGATCTTCGGAAGGAAAAGGGAGAAGCTCTCAGGGGGGGGAAAGGCCTTAGGGGGGAAAGGGGGAAAGGGATCTCAGCAGGGAAAGGGGGGGGGGAAAGATCTTAGGGAGGAAAGGGAGAAGATCTGGGGACAAAGGCCTTAGAGGGGAAAGGGGAGAAATGATCTCAACAGGGAAGGGGTGGAAAAGATCTTAGGGAGGAAAGGGAGAAGATCTGGGGGAAAAAAGGCCAACAGGGAAAGGGGGGAAAGATCTAAGGAAGGAAAAGGGAGAAGCTCTCAGGGGGGAAAGGCCTTAGGCGGGAAAGGGTGGGAAGGATCTCAACAGGGACAGGGGGGAAACAATCTTAGGAAGGAAAAGGGAAAAGATCTGGAAAGGCCTTAAAGGGAAGAAGGGAAAGGATCTCAACGGGGAAAGGAGGCAAAGGATCTTAAGGAGGAGTAGGGAGAAGATCTCAGCGGGGGGAAAGGCCTTAGGAAGGAAAGGAGGGAAAGGATCTCAACAGGGAAAGGGGGCGGAAAGATCTCAGTGAGGAAAGGGAGAACATCCCAGGCAGGGAAAAGGCCTTAGGGGGGAAAGGGGGAAAGGATCTCAACAGGGAAAGGGGGCAAAGGATCTTCGGGAGGAAAAGGGAGAAGATCTGAAAAGGCCTTAGGGGGAAAAGGGGGAAAGGAGCTCAACAGGGAAAGGTGGGAGAGGATCCTAGGGAGGAAAAGGGAGAAGATCTTGGGGGGAAAGGATCTCAACCAAGGGAAAAGATCTTGGGGAGGACAAGGGAGAAGATCTCAGGGGTGGAAAGGCCTTAGGGGGGAAAGAGGGGAAAGGACCTCAACAGGGAAAGGGGGCAAAGGATCTTAGAAAGGAAAAGGGAGAAGATCTTGGGGGGGAAAACGCCTTAGGGGGGAAAGGGCGGGAAAGGATCTCAACAAGGAAAGGGGGGAAAAGATCTTAGGAAGGAAAAGGGGGAAGATCGCGGGGGGAAAAAAGGCCTTAGGGGGGAAAGGAGGGAAAGGATCTCAACAGGGAGAGGGGGGAAAACATCGTAGGGAGGAAAAGGGAAAAACTCAGAGGGAGAAAGGGCCTTAGGGGGGAAAGGGGGAATGGATCTCAACAGGGAAAGGTGGCAAAAGATCTTAGGGAGGAAAAGGGAGAAGATCTCAGGGGGGGAAAGGCCTTAGGGGGGAAAGGGGGGAAAGGATCTGAGCAGGGAAAGGGGGGGAAAGATCTTAGGGAGGAAAGGGAGAAGATCTGGGGGCAAAGGCCGTAGGGGGGAAAGGGGAGAAATGATCTCAACAGGGAAAGGGGTGGAAAAGATCTTAGGGAGGAAAGGGAGAAGATCTGGGGGAAAAAAGGCCAACAGGGAAAGGGGGGGGGATCTAAGGAAGGAAAAGGGAGAAGCTCTTAAAGGGACGGGGGGAAAGGATCTCAACAGGGAAAGGGGGCAAAGGATCTTAAGGAGGAATAGGGAGAAGATCTCAGTCAGGGGGGGAAAAAGATCCCAGGGAGGAAAAGGCCGTAGGGGGGAAAGTGGGGGAAAGGGGGAAAGAAGATCTCAGGGGGGAAAAGGCCAGGGGGGAAAGGGGGGGGATCTCAAAAGAGGGGTGAAAACATCTTAGGGAGGAAAAGGGAAAAAAACAGAGGGAGAAAAGGCCTTAGGGCGGAAAGGGGGAATGGATCTCAACAAAGAAAGGGGGGCAAAAATCTCAGAGGGGAAGGGGGCAAGGGGACAATTCCAAAGGGACGCAAATAAGAAAGCAGGCCTGTAATGTCGGCGGCCTGAGCCGGAGGCGTTAAAATATTCGAGGGCTGCGCTGCTGAATGCGGAGCTTGTCCCTTCGTGGATCGTCCATGGGAGCAAGTCCTGGTACTACCTGGGCCGGATTGTCGACGTAACGTGCCCAGCCAAGCAACCGCACCACTGTATCAGAGCACAGCCTGCCTGACCACAATGCTTGCTCATATCACGGAGTGCCCTCATCTGAAGGTACCTAGGGCAAGCTGTTGTGGGCACATAGCTTGCTCAACAATGAGCTCGGAATCGCACAAAGCGTGGCAACGTGCAGGACGTGGATCGGTCCAGACCTAAGTGAGATCACCTTGACAAGCCTGCAAGCCTGCATTCGACAAGCCAGCTTCTCGCCGCAAAGCAAGGCAGCACTACGAGGGATCGACGCTGACCTGTTTGTCGCGATTATAAAAGAATTTCTGGCCTGGCAGGCACATGCACGTGAGTTCAAGCATGCTCTGGTCATGTTGCAACCTTGAGAGCAAGCAATAACCGCTCAGAAGTTCGAAAAAAATGACTGCCCTGGCCTCCCTCATCAGTGTGCTCGGACCACGCCTTGCAAAGAATCTCAAATCGCATAAGCTAAAAAGAAACGGTGGTGCGCATGCAAAAAACGACACAACATATATAGCATGCTCTAACTCAAGTGCCACATGTTGCCTAGTGTAGGAGCAGTTGTAACAACAAGTATGGGCCGCCAACACGACAAGCTGTGTTTTGCGAAGTCCCTTTCACGAAGAGAGAGAGAGAGAGAGAGAGAGAGAGAGAGAGAGAGAGAGGGAGGGAGAGAGGGAGGGAGGGAGGGAGGGAGGGAGAGAGGGAGGGAGAGAGGGAGAGAGAGAGAGAGAGAGACACACACACACACAAACACAAACACACACATGCGCAGAGCAGCCTGCAGTTCCTTCACAGAATCTCGCTCTGCTTCTTCACACCTTGGGAAATCCAGCAGCTCATGCAAACCTAGCAAAGCTGCCCAACCAGAACTTTTGCGGAGTACGCTTTTCTATCATGCTCACTTCGGCTTGATCCAGATAGCATGGTCCTCCGGATACATCCAAAGCTAAAACTATGGTCAGTTCATCTCGAGAAACCACCCCCCCTTCCTTCGTTGTGTTCGACGTGTACCCGAAGTGTCACAAGGCTCCGACTTGCGTTTCAGCCTGTCCAGCTCAACAGTCTGGTCCTGACAGGTGCATAACAAGAAGCCGCTCACATCGCTGCAAGCCTTGTTAAAAACTCACGGGGCACTTTGGAGATTGCATTGCCAGTCCTCTTTGGAGAGGTCTCCACCGCGGAAGTGCACAATGGACTTGTACCTAGCGCAAAAGGTGCAACAAGTGATTCACAGGTCACATTGCAAAAATGAGACTTATTGATTTGCACGGGCAATACATCTATGTGGATTTTGATTCACAAAGGCCTGAAAAGAACACCTGGCGGTTGCAAACATTGTGAGGGAGCTTGGGGATGCTCGCTTCAAGCGTGGATACCATGGGATCCTTGAGAGAAACTCAAAAACATCGCCCACCAATCAACGCCAGCCTGCCGAATCAAAACCAATCAACGAGCACGTATCCCGGTGCAGCTGCTCCAGCGGATGCGTCCATGAGCTCGCATGGGTCTGCACGTTGTAGTAGAAGACCCGATCCGCACTGGCAAGCTTTCGAGGCAAATCCCGGCCCTATAGCAGCATGTCATGGCAGGGGTCTGTGATGTATGAGCATTGCATGGCTTGGCATGGTCAGTTGATACATCTCTGTTTTGGTCAGGCCTGTCATGGTGCTCTGTCCACTCAGAGGGGAGCGGTGCGGCGAGTGCCTGAAGGCATCCGGACATTGGCCAACATGTGCAAGAATTGTTTGACGAGCGGCAGATTGCGCAGCTCAAGTCGCACATTTGTGTAAACTGGCGCATGCACAATGCAAGCCTCGTCTGCAATCCACATAAGATCGCCATCTGTGATGGGGTCAATACCAAGGTACCTCTGGACCATGGCGAAGTCATACAATGCTTCCATGGGTGAGGGCAAGTGACAGCAAGTGCCCATGCACTTGTCAGATCCCAAACAAATTTCAGCAGCACACCATTATCAAAGTTCTCGAGCCAACATGGCCCAAAACAGGAGGCCAATGTGCTGAAAGTGCTAACCCTGTAAAGAAGAAGCCTTGTGGCAGAATGTGCGGTTTCATGAGTGGCAGGAAGCGGATTCTTCCTGTGGGCCCGGCCGTGCATACGCAATGAGCTCTGGCTTGGTAGGCTCAAGGCCACGTTCTCGGTACCGCTTGGTACGTGCAACCTCGGCAGAGTGCACGGGCAGCAGCCAACATGTGCGCAAGCTGGCAGAAAAAAGAATGCCAAACCCCACTCTCCTGGCCTTCGGACAAACAACTCCCACCAAATACTGAATCATTTACACTGCCCTGAGTTGCCAGCCATCAACATTGGAAGGACAATCAAAGCCAAGCTGTTGCAAGGGCTTGAGGCAGACACAAACTCGTTGACAGTGAGTGCACCTTTGCCTTCGTGTGATCACCAGCCAATTTGCGCTCCGAACTGACATGTAAGTTTGGTACATCGAGTTAAACTGGTGAGGTGGTGAGTGTCACCCAGCGCAGTCACAAGCAAACCGAAAAAATCTGACACGTGCAAGCGCCAGCCCGCCTCCGCCGCTCCGATCGTTTACTCCGGCTCCTTTGGAGCTACTCCTCGCGCTACTTTCAGCCTGCAAACGTCCGAATCCGTGGAGCTCTCTGAGTCGAAGTCAATCAGGAATGAAGATAGAAATAGAGAGACAAAAAGGAAAACAAAGAGGACGAGAAAGAAGAGAGGAAGAGGGAGAAACAAGTATGATGAGACAACAAACAAGCAAATGGCAACCAACAATAGAATTCGCGGATGCTACCAACATCCTTCACCCGAGTGATGACCAGCGCAAAGATTGGCTCACATTGAAATGGGTGCGGCTCAAATCCAAGAGCTAGGGTTACGCAGGTTTTAGTCGTTGGTTCCATTAACCAAGGTGCCATTTTGGTACATGTATTTGAGCCACAGCCAAATGCAGGCTTGCGACTTGATCACACCCTGCAAACCGTGCCTGGGGAAAAAAAACGATAATTTCTTCATGGGATTGCTGTCGATGCGCTGCCAATAATGTCTTGCTGCTCTTGTATACCTGGCTTTATGTGCAATAGAGGCCCGCTCGGCGGAGTGTGTCTAGTGGGAATTATCAGTTGACCGAAGGGGCGCCCTCACTGAGCAAAGAAGCAAACTGGAAACCATGTAAATGATAGAGCAGCACACCACTTCAGAATGCACACACTACCACCTTTGTGACATCATGCAATACATCACCATGCCAGTTGTTGTTGCTGCCAGATCAACTCATGACACTTTTGTTTCTGCATGTGTTTGCCCTGTACTCAACTGCCTCCAGATGGAACGGCAGGCATAGTGAGAGGGAGATGCATGTGCTCAAATAGTGGCTTCTTGCAGCGTGTGCAGTGGAAGTTGTGAGAGGCATTGTCCTGTTGGACGTAGAGGGACTCAGCTCTCAAGGCAGCCGGGATGTGCAAAGGCAGCGCAGATCTCCACAAACAGATCATGCGTTGCATCTGCTTGTGCGGTTGCTCTGTTGCAAGCAAGCTTAGCGTGCAGAAAGAGCAGATGGAGTCATGCAAGGATGCAAGCCTGGAAGAAAGGGCAGCTGAATGGAAGAGAAAAGGGCAGGGAAGAGGAAGGAATAGGGACGCGATGAGGGAAAGGCAAGGAAGGAGCAGCAGGAGGAGGGAAAGAAGAGAGGCGACAAAATGGCAGCAGGCGGAGGGGTTGTTTGTTTTCCTAGGTTCGGCGGGCCGTTGCTTCCCTAGGTTCATCTTGGGGGTGGCCCCGGACCACTAACAGTGAGCACAAATAGGAGCACAAAAAAAGCACCACAAAAAACAAGCAACTTTGCTCTTTTTTTGAAAATTAGGTACCCGTGCAGGTCTGAAACCTAAATTACTCGTTCTGCATCTTGGGGGATAGCTCCGGGGACCTTGAAATAAAGTGATTCAAAGACTATAAATAGGCACACGCAACACGACGGCTAGCGTGGCTGTTGCAACATTACCTTTCCGTCCTTCCTTTCTGTTTGGCTTGGTCGCTGCCCCTCCCAGTCAACCTCCCCCCAGCGTAAGCCAGAGCCTTCCGATTCACAGCCCCTCCCGGCCTTCTCTCAGCCTCCGCTCCCAACCTCCTCCCTGCCAACCAAGCTGCCCTCACCCGTCCAGCCCTCCCTCCCCCCAAACCTCCTTCTTACCTGCGGCCCTCACCCAAACCCCCCACCTCTCACGCAAACATCCAGCCCACAGCAACCCCCTCCCCTCCGTCTGCCCTTCTCACCAACCTTCTGTCTGTTCTTTCTTCCTTCCTTTTTTCGTTCCAAGAGTGTCGCGGGGAGCACTAACGTTTTTTTTGAGGGGGAACACTAACGCACTAACGTTTAATTTTTAAGGTGTCCCGGGGAGGCCTGGGGGGGGTCCTGGGGCAAGTAATTTGAATTTCGCGGTCTGAAGGGAAAGTAATTTTGAAAAACCGGCTCGCCGGCCAAGTTTTGCGGTGCTTTTTTTGTGCTCCAATTGGAGTTTTGCGGTGGTCCTTTGTGCTTGTTCTTGTGGGTGCCGTGGTGCTTTTTTTTGTGCTCCCGCTGGTGGTTTCCCGTGATGAAAAGCAGCAGCGGAGTCCGAGCGTGTGGCAATTCGGGTTTTGTGGTGGTCCCTTGTGCTTTTTCTTGTGGGTTCCGCGGTGCTTTTTTTGGTGCTCCCGCTGGTGGTTTCCCGTGATGAAAAGTAGTAGCGGGGTCCAGGCGGGTGGTAATTGGGGTTTTGTGGTGCTTTTGTTTGTGCTCCCGATTGTGCTTTTTTGTGCTTTTTCTTGTGGGTTTCGCGGTGCTTTTTTTTGTGCTCCCGCTGGTGGTTTCCCGTGATGAAAAGTAGTAGCGGGGCCCCTCTAAAGGGTAATTGGGGTTTCGCGGTGCCTTTTTTTGTGCTTTTTCTTGTGCTAGTTTTACGCTTTCCTCTGGAAAATCCGTCCGAAAATTTGCCGAAATTGGCCAGAAGCGCGGGAGCCGGCCGGAGTCAGTGCCAGCTCGGCCAGCTCGGCGCTGGCGCCAGCTGGGCCAGGGGCCAGCTGGCCTGGCCGGGCAGGGTGGGGGCTGCCAGCCAGCAGGCCTGCAAACAGCTGTCTAGGTCGCAGGGCAAACGTGGCAGTGGCTCCCCTGGCCCTGAACCTGTCTTTCAGGACCTTGGGCTCCTCCACCAGGCTCACAAACGGAAGAAGCTGAAAGAAAAGACGCTCCAACGTGTTTCTGGGCGAAGCGGCCAGCTCCGCGCTGACTGCGCCACTTCCTGCCTGCTTTGGATTTCGCTCTCTGTCAGATCAAGATGTCAGAACTTGGTGTTAGCGTTAGCGACTTGCATTCAACTTGCAGCGACGGCGGAAAAGTGGTAGTGATAGTTGCTGTCTAGGCCAATGTTTATTTGCGATATATGTTTATGCTATGTCTATGTCTCTGTCTATGTTTACGACTCCTGAACCAGCTTTAAACTTTTCCTAGGTCTCCTAAATCCTAATGCACCTACAGTCCAGTGACAACCCCAAAAGCGCAGCACTGGAAACCAGTAGGGACAGAACCGTATTTGGGCCTGGGCATGAAAAGACACCACTCTACTCTCCACTGCATCATCATATTATAGACCAAACAAATACGCAACCTAAAATTGGTGGGCGTGCTTACCCAAAACCAATTTGGGCTTGCTGGTGGTCATTTTGCTGAGGTATTATGTATAAATGGCTTTATTTAACTGTTAGTGCTCGGGGGCACCCCCCGAGGTTCATCAGGCGATAAAATGATGCATTTTGCAGCATTGGCTAACAGCATGCACCTGTGTTCACACCACTCAACATCCCCAGCATTGTGTTCAACACCCCGGCATCAACAGAAGCTTTGGTTTAGACTGAGCTTAGGTGAGTTCAAGGATGGTCTAGGGTGGGTTTCGGTGGGTTTATGGTTGGTTTGGCTTGGCTTAGAATTTGTATCAAAAAGGTTTAGGGTTGGCTTAGGGTGGGCTTAGGGTCGGGTGTAAGTGGGTTTATGGTAGGATCAGGGTTGGTTTGGGGTAGGTTTGGTGGTTGAGGGTGGCTTTAGGGCTGGTTTAGGAATGCTTTGGTGCTGGTTTGGTGTGAGTTTAGGGTTGGGAAAGGGTTTGCAAATTTGCTTGCGGTTTGTGGAGTTGTTTTTTTTGCTTTAGGGATTTGGTGTGGGTTTTACACTGGCTTTAGGGTTGGTTTAGGTTGGTTTAGAGTTTTTTGGTTGAGGTTTGGTTGGGGTGGGTTTGGGGTTGGTATAGGGCTTTTTTTTAGGGTTGATTTAAAGTGACTTAAAGCGGTTGGTTTAGGTAGGTTTGGGGTGGGAGGATTGGTGCAGGGTTGGTTCAGGGTGGGTTTAGGGCTTCTGTAGGGTTGCTTTAGTGCGGGATTGGTTTGGTTTAGGGTGGGTTTGGTTGTGGTTTGAGCTGGAGGTTAGTTTAGGGTTACTTGGGGACAGTTTAGTGCTGGTTTAGTGTGGGTTTTTGGGCGCGGAATCATGTGGGTTTAGGATTGGTTTTGGTTTGCTTAGCTTATTTGGGGTTGACTTTTGGTGGCTAAGCGATTGTTTAGTACTGGTTTCATGTGGGTGACATTCACTATCCTGGCAGCCCACCGATCGACCGACCGACTGACCGACCCTGCCCACGACCCGGCGCGCCAAACCCAAGGATCAAACAGACTCAGGGCCCAAAAAAGCACTTCTGACATAATATGTGCTCCAGCTCGTATGTCTGCCATCTTTGGCAATTGAGAGCGCTACCACAACTGCACAGCCCGCCTTCGATTTCTCTGGAGGCTCTGCTGACGCCTGACGTGCCCAAATCTACGTGCTGCCACTGCAGGAACATCACACTACTCCAGCATAACAAGCATCACTCTTGCCACTTCTGGCACCCATGTCATCACAACTGTGATCATGTCGTCTGTGTACAGCTCTCGGATTGCGCGCTCGCAAGTGCCCTACAAATCGAGTAAGTGAAGCTCCACAGCCCCATGCAACTTCCCGGCCTTTGTGGCTTTTGGAAGACCAAGCTTCAGGCCAAAGACCTCAAAACATGAAATTCCCCAACTACCTCTTCTCACTTAAGCTTCGAAAGACTAGGCCCAGACCATGGCTCCCACACCTGACCTCGGAAATCCAAGACAAAATGTGAACTGAGATGGGCCAACGAGCTGGGCTTGGGGCCATGTGTCAGTCGGTGGGAGCAATAAGCAAATGTGCGGCAGCGCCGCTTTGAGCCGAAGAGCCACCAAGCAGAATGTAGGCCAACTGAAATGAACCAACCCTCAAGTCGTGCTGATAATGAGCAGAACCGCACTGGGATGCACATGAAGCAGGACAGGTTCTGCGCAGGCATTGTTTACTTCTCGCATCGCGGCCGGAAAGGCCCTGCCAAAACCCTGATGAAACGCCTTCATATGTCGTTGAGACCCTCAGTCTTCTCGTGCGACATGAAGCATTTTGCTCAGGCACTGGTGAATCAGTACGGTCCTTGCCAAAATTGGTCTCTGAGGATCTTGTGCGGACTTTGGTCGAACTACTGGGAGGCTGCCCGCCAAAAGATCTGTTACATTCTGTTGGTGAGATCGGGAACTTCTACGCGGGCGTGATACAAGGATCAACCAGGCTGCTATTCGGAGTGAGGCAAAAAATGCATGGGTGGCTTTAGCTGCAACTTCTCACTCTAAAAAGCATCGTCTACCACTTTACAGCTTGCTGAACCCTGTGATACTCGGCACTTAGCTTTTCACATCACAGCGCTCTCCCGACTATGATGCGCGAGCAAGTGCAGGGGAGACTTCGCAGAGCATGACACTCATACACTGGCACCACTGGCACCTCTTCTCTGCCATGAGACAAATATTCATGCCCAACGGTCAAGCTAACTCGACCAGGGCTGTGAAATCCATAACAAGTGAAACCGGATGAAACCGGGACGCAGCAGAGTGAGACCAACAATGCAAACCATACAAGTTTTGTGGTGCTTCCTGGAGTTTGATGTTGATGGATGTTGCTATGTTTAACATGTTCAAGCCTTGAAACATCGATGGCAGTCAATCGGATGGATGCCTCAGTGAGATCCCCACATGGCCGTATTGGAGGTCGGAGGCGGCGGTGGCAACGGTGGTGGTGCACTGGTGTCGTCTCCTCCCACCAGGCCATCCACCTCGGCCGCAGCCCAAGCCCACTGCACCCACAAGTAGCTGTGAAGCTGCTGCTGAACGCATGTTGAGCTTTTTGCCATGCCCTTGGCAGCAGCATCGTCGAAGGAATTCCAGACCTGGTCACACAGGACATGACCTGCTACACACATCATGGACTTTGTGATTCATTCCAGGGCCCGTGCCGCGGCGGAACTCCCTCAGTCAAAAGTGCAAAAGAAAAAATCCAATAGAAATGTTTGAACCTCCTGTACCCGATTTAAGATGCTAATTTGTCAACGCTTCACCCCCAACTCTTCCCGCCACGGCCTGCCATCGGCACGCCATCGCGGGGCATGTGCCTCGTGGTTGGACACAGATATACGCGAAACTCATCCGCTCAAACAATTTGTACAAGTAGCTGAGTGAGTCGCTAATCGAATCGTTTCGAATCAACACATAGCTCTCCCAATGACCACGCCTAATACCGCGAGTGAATCAAGCAAATTCCGCACGGTTGCCAACAATGGTGATCATGCAGCTATGAGTGCATTGCAGTGTCCGCTGCTTTCACTACTGTGTCTTTTGATGCCGGTGCTGAGTACATCTCGGCATTACACTTCTGCCCTTCTTACAGAACCCGTGCCCACGGAAGTCCAAGCCTACATTGAAGTCTCCAAGTGAAAGGGAATGTTGGCATCGAACTTTGTACTTTGAAGTGCTTGATGCTAGTCTTGCATGATAGATTTCAGAGCATAGAATACAGGATGTGCACTATAGCCAACACAGCTCAACCCTTGCACGAATGTTGAATCCAAATCTAGCCATGCCAATCTCGCAAATGGAGACGTAAGCCCAGATCAGTCTCTACATAAATGTGCCACGCTGCGAACTCCGAAGGGCTTCTCTCAGACAGAATGATCCTTTCGACGATGGCTGATTACATGCAAATACATAAATACCATGCTTTGGGCACAACAGGGGTTGCATTGCAGCGATCAGCATCGCCAAACGGCGCGTGGCCTTGCCCCCGTCTCTTGTCGATGATACTTTTTCTTTTCCAGAATTCGCAGGCGCCCAAAACTGAGGGCGCTGGCCCTGCAGGCGGAGCCGGAGGTTGCTGTGCCGGAGGCGCCGGCAAGGATTGCTGGCGGTGCGATGCAATGCCAATGTCAGCGAGTTCTCAAACCCGACCCTCTCCGCATTCAAATGAGAGACATCCAAGTCTTCAAAGCTGGAAAAGAAATGCACTACATAACAGTTCTGCACGTTTGACAAAATCAGGTGACAAGAGTTAGTCAAAAGCGAGATTGGCAATTTAAAAATGGGGTTGGCTGTTGCATCAAATGTTTGGAAGGTTTAGGAATGCCATGCAAACTCCATCGTACTGGATTAGGGGATGAAGTTTGACAGGGGGATGAGCGGGCTTCCAACCTTGTCGTTGAGAGACATGTCAGACAGCTGCCACACCTTGGTCATATCTCGCAGGCTATCAAGGATAAAGACTTGCAAGGCTTGCCTTTTTCAGGTGGATTCTCCTTTCACTCAGAAGCCATCAAGCCACGAGAAGAGAACAATCTGGGACGTGCGCCATATCGAGGTACTGTTGCTGTGACTGCTGATCCTTGGTTCTCGCATCACATACCATTCGTGACCACTAAAGTGTGCTAGTGGTCTCGCAGGTTGTCCATAGCCATTCCAAAGACTTCAAAATACTGCAGCTCTGCAACTCCCCGTCGGTTTGGGCACTGTCCAACCCACCAATCGCACAATATGTGGCTTCGGTTTCCCACTGCACGCCTCTCCCCCAGGTCTCAATCCCTATCCTCCGGCTGGTTTGTTTCCGCTTTCTTCCTATTTTTTTTGTGATTGCTGTTTGGTGTTTGCTCTGTCCGAGTTGCCTGATTCCCAGACACTCAGCTGCTTCGGGCAAGACAACATAGCCACACAATCGTAAGCCCTAGGCCTGCCCTCGGGCCTTGGCGCCAGATTCAATCGGGCCTGCTCTGGCTTCGAACTCAGGTGACGGCCAGGCTGCCGGTGGCCACAGACGGATCAGCCTCCGGATGTCAAAATGAAGGCGGAAGCTGTCTTTCGAAACTCCCATGGCAAAAAGCTTGTGAAACCCAGCTTGAATTTGAACCAGTCCGAGCAAGATCGGAATATGCCCTCGCCTGGGGCTGCGTGTACTGCAGCGGCTGCTGCTGCGGCACCTATATAGAAACTCGCTCAAAGACTCAAGATTTAACGATTGAACCCGTGCAAGGGTTCTGAGCTTGTGCGAGGCCTTCTTGAATTTTGTTGGAAGTTGCACACTCTACTCTTCCATATCAAAGCCTGTCTCTTGCCTGGCTTTGCGCACCCTGATAGCTGCCGTAGGCCACGACCTGAACGTCGCAAAGCGATATGCAGTCAGTATTGCTGGAACAATTTTGCAAGTTCCTCGACAGCTTTGTACAGTCATGCTTGCATTCACCCAACTCTCACGAGCCAAGCCGCTCCAGAGCCACTAGTTGCACTAGGCTGCTGCAAGTAGTTGTACGGACCTGCACACATAGTGTTCTTATGGCCTCCTCTGCCTGTCCGTTTGGCATCTCCGCGGCTCAGGTCATGACTTTGGCCCAAACCATATCCGGCAGTGGCATATGCCTTGAATGCAAACTGACCAAAGAGTGCCGCTTCCCTCTGTCTTACTTGTCTGTCATAGCTTGCATCTCTGTCACTTCTCCCTCACTGCGACCCTTGCAGTTGCCGGATTTGTTGGGTAGGTCGCCGCTTGCTGGCTGTACTGCGCCTTGGCTGCAGGGAACATGGGGTCTGGGCCCCAATCAGACTATGTCACAAACCAAGCAATTGTGGCTAAGAAAAACTAGGTCGCCGCACCTGACAAAAGGCACTGTTTCGCTGTCGCCGCCAACAACAACGACCAAAAAGAAACACCACAAACAAACACACACACACACACACACACACACACACACTTAAACTCCAAATGGAGAGTGCTAATCTTTCGAGTACAACTGATGAGTCTCGAGTACAACTGATGAGTCTCGAGTACAACTGGATCGGCTGGCAGGTCACTTGGCTTCACTCTAGCTACTTCAACAGGGAGACAGAGAAGCAACAGCGGTTCAGGGGAGGGACCAAAAGGACATTTCTCATCACTGCAGGTACGTGGATTCTGCGTCCAGAATCCATATCAGCACTGATGGAAGCCTCTTCGTTGGGCCGTCACTTCCATGCAGTGGACAGCCCCCCTGCTCCCAAAACCGGCACATGGTGGTGACAGGGTATTCTGTCACTCCCCACACACACGCCCCTCAATGAGGGGCGAGAAGTCTATTTTTCTGCAGGAAGATCACATGCTCAACTTCGTGCCCCTATCGTTGACCAAAATATCCACCGCGGCGAGGGGAACGCGAAACAGCCCTAAACCGCTCAGAAGACGGGAACGAAAGATCACCACGATGAGCATTACGAGTGTCGCCATAGAAGACTGAAGCGAATTGCGAAGCAGTCGAGCGATCGCCGTCAGAAATAGGAGTGGCATAGGTGAACATTTCCTCAACAGGAATTGCATCGGAATTCTGCACATCTCCAAGTGCTTGATCACGGGCATGATGTGTAGTGAAGGACTCCCTTCGAGACAGAATGCGTTGGTATCCTTGATGCTGCCAGTCGCGAATGGTCCATGCCTGACCGTGTTCACCAGTCCCACCACTGGGATCAGTTACCCGCTGCCACTCCCGAAAAGAGTTGTCTGGTAGATCAGGTACGGTTTCTCTGGGTTGCCATAGTTGAGGCTGTCCTGGAGTATAGATCCGCACCCACTCCTGATCATGCCAGACCGAGTATTCGAGCCATGGGTACTGCTTCGCATCCTCGATGTCCATGCCGAAGTAAGAGGCAGGGCGTACCGCGGGTTCAGATCCAGCTAGTAAAGAAACAGGCACCATGCACAACCATGCACAAGCATCAACCAAGCAAGGCAGTACAAGTATGAAAACCACCCTTTTTGTACTATGCCCAACACGCGTCAGTCTAGTCATCATTTAGTTCGAAGATAGGCTTCACCTTCGCGGTGGTGCTGCCTGATGGATTCGTAGGCCGGTATGGGCCAGAGACCCTAATAGACTCCGGTGGTGCAATTCCACGAGATGCACGTACAGGTTGGTGTTGTTGGGATGCGTGACGTGCGCGATCCGACAGTTGTTGAGAGATCCTGTCTTGAAGACGAGTCAGATCTTCAGTGGAGAAAGCCGCCGCGTCCGAGGATCTAAGAATCGCTTCCAACATCTGCGGTGACATACTCAATGCCGAGGATTGCGTGGCCACGTTATGTTGATCAGGAAAAGACATCGAATCAAAGTCATGACCAGCTTGAGGGGCAGCAACTCTCCGATAGCCCTCTGTGGCCCAGTCTCTTTTGTACCAAATGCTGTCATTGGGCTGCGCACCGTCTTGATCAGGATTTGGGACATAGAACTCCTTCCACTCTCTGTATGTGTGAGGTGGAGGTGGAGCATCATGTTCTTCCTGTGGAGTCCATGATCCCGGATGAAAGATCTTGACCCACTGGGCATCTGGTTGTTGAGGATCCGGACACCACTCCAACCACGGCATGACAACTCAAACCCGGGAAGATAGATTGATAGGTGTACGGCTGCAGACAACAATTACTGCAAGAGACACAACCACAACCATGCAAGCAAACACTTTTGCAGCAATGCACGGCTCAGGTGTCGAAGTCAATCTCCTCAATCAAATTGAATTGAATAGAATCTCCAGAAAGACGAGGACGAGCATCAGCCACCATCTGAGTTCGAGGATGCCGACGAAGAGGTCAGTCCAGCGTACATGAGGTCCGGTGAGCCCGAAGCGAAAACTGGACGCGCAATGCTAGGGTGTGGATGACCGAGCCGTTGATATCCTCTGGTGACCCAGTCCCGATAATGCCAAATATAGAAGGACGCATAGGAGACCGGCTGAGAAACAGAGCCCATATTGGTGCCGCCCGTGCTGTCCCTTGGCCAATACACTTCGAAGTGGTAGACTTTGCGCCATTCCCGATAGGTGGTTGAGTCCTCCGGTGCAGGTCCCAAGGTGTGTTCGACTGGATGCCACGGACCAGGTACATAGACCCGAATCCATTCAACGCTTGTGTTCGCGGGGCCATTGACGATGTCGTACTCAAAGTAGCGTGGCAGGGGCCATCGTGCAGCGCCATATATTGTAGAATTGAACATATCAACCAGGCAAGCCGCTCGAGGTCAAAAGGGAAGCGGCGAGCACATGAACACGGAAAGCACAACACAATCCAAGACAACCCAACATGATATCGCACTCACCACAGGCACAACCGCATCATTTTAGCCGACATGTTGCTCAAGTATCACTCCGAATCGTTCCAAGGATCATAGAATGGTGGTGGTGAAGGTTCCCGCCACGCCCCATCCGGAACAGATGAATCCACCGAGGAAGTAGCGTCTGCATTCACGAGCGCCGCCGATCCAATGGCTGGTAAAGGAACTCCAAGTCGTTGATACCCTCGTGTTTCCCAGTCTCGGTACTCCCACACGTGGTAGGACACATACGAACTGGGCGTGACAATGGGGTCCGCGGTTGTTCCTCCGGTGCTGTCTTCGGGCCAGTACACTTCGAAGCGATATGACCTGCGCCACTCCCGATACGTGGAAGCGTAGATTGGGGCACGAACTAGAGTATCAGTGGCAACGGGTCGCCACGTGCCCGGTGTGTAAATTCGAATCCATTCCACTCCTCCCTCGATCTGGTACTCGAAATAGTGAGGGTTCATAGCGGCAAGACAGGTCGTCGCGGGGCCGCTGAAAGAAATCGTAAATCTGCGGCGAAGACACTCATGCAATGACAACCAAACACAACTAGAGTGTTGACCGAGGCAATGCAAGGCAACTTTTCAAACACAGCAGCGAGGTTTGTAATATACGACACCTATGCTTCACCGCCGCTGATGCCGCACACACCTGCAAAGATAATGTCCTGGTCGTCGACGAGCACAGGGAGAAAGACATTTCCGTCCATGGCGTAGGAAGGCATGACAGTAATGCTTGCAACTTGCCAATGGGGACAGCGATGGACGGGTGGCTCGTTTGGAAGGGAGATCTCCGCGGTGCAGAAGCGGATGCTGTTTGAGAGCGTTTCGATGAACGCCCTGGACTGCGCAGATCATCATCACGGGACTGGTCAGTGCTGTAAATCGAGCGGCGTGTGCGCTGCGATTTCGGTGTGGCAGGGCAGGATTGTCCTCGAGGAGAAGGGTTCGAGGAGGCACGCACTGAGGGCATAAACTGTGGGTGTAGAATCACCGGTGGTGGTGGCGGCGGAGGAGGCGGAGGTGGAAGAAGTATTGGAAACCTTGGCGGGGGTGGAGGTGACGCAGTCTGTCGAATTGGTCTGTCAAGCAAGGTACCAGGTCCGTGAAACTGTAACCACGTCGGCTGCGCTCCATGGGTCCAAGTAATGTATGTCTGCACATCTTGCTCCGACATGATTTGAGCAGCTCAGCTATGCATGCAATCCACGTCAGCAACAACATCCACGACAGCAAACAATATTTTCACTGGTCGAAATGTCAAGTAGGTCCAAAATGACTGCAATCCCAACCATCACGACAACCTGCAACGCTCACCGAATGCACTGCCACGTCCTACGAGTTAGTCCTCCAGTAGTCACTGGTTCATTCGATGCACGGTGCCCTAGCCGCGAGCCTCTGATAGACCTTCCAGGCCTGCTTGACTTCCTCAGTGGGCTTCTGAAGGAACCGGGCAATGGTTTTGTAGGTGGGCCTGGAATCCTTGTCCTTCTTCCGTCGAACCATCTCATCCAGCTCACCCTGTGTCCATGCCGTAAAAGGTTCACGGTGTGCATTGCGAAGGGCAATGGTGAATTCTTGTAGAAGTTCCCGAGCTCCATGAACCACTGTGGGAGAAGGGCGGAACGATGAGGCACCTGGATGTGGACGAACTGAACCATCAGAATCCGAGTCAGGTGTGGTAGGCGATGTCTGTCCTGGTTCGCGTCCGCTGTGTGGGGGTGGGGGAGCAAGAGGCCTTGGTGGTGGCAAGCGATCCAACATTGACTCTGGACGACGACCAGAAGTGCTGTCAGCGGCATCCCGATGTGCCGCACGAGGCGGGGATAAGGCCAGTATATACCAGGTGGAGGAGTATCCAGAGGCCGGGTTCGAATTCGAGTAGGAGAGCGAGATCGCTCTGTGATGATGCGAGGGCGCAGTCCGTGCCTGGAGTTCCGTGGGGCCCTAGGAGACACTCGAGTGTCCGACTGCTAGTTTCGCTCGGTCACCAGGGCAAAGTTCAGGGTGTCCAGAGCAGTCGCTACTTGGGATGCGAGGACACTGAGTACCGCCACCAGGTTGTTCACAAACTCGACTGACAACTGCATGGCAAATGAACTCACAGCAAGGACAAATCCAGCAAGAAAGGCTGCGGATCTGCAAAGACATGATGCTAGCAAAACATGCATGCATCGATATACTGAGGACCTTTTGCCGCTGGTGTTCCGTCAACGGTCATATGAGAGACCAGACGGCCGACACGCCGGCATGGCCTTGACTGCCGGCGGGTACTTCGGCGTGAAGGCGCGGCGGTGGGACGCGGGACCAGCGTCGTCAGGGCGGCCAAGAGGACGCCTGTGGTGACTGCGGCTGCGAGACCGACGCCGATGAGGTTCCCGGTGTCTGAACCTTCTTCTCCGTCTGCGCTCTCGGGACGTACTGACACTCACCGTATGAACATG